GACTTTTACCTTTGTAAACTGTGTTGGAAAGAGATGCATAACTGTCAAAGAGCCTGCCTGACAATGTATATTGAAGATATTATGCAGATATGTCTCCACTTGTTGCTTTTGAGGTTCATGAGGCTCTCATGAGACTACAGCATAAAGAAAACCATTGATGCACCAGCACAAAAAAAAAATCAAAGAATACTCCTGTAACAATCACAAGGAGCAGCAGCTACCATTAATAGAGTAAACAAAGAGAGAAATTGTAAGCTTTGTTACTGAACAGAGAGACTGAAGAAAAAGTAAAAATAATAGTTTCCAGGGAATATAGGCCCACTGGTGTGGGTAGGAGGTAGCTCCTGCCAGCATTTGTCACATTTACTTTTCCCCATGCTGTAAAAGGAAACTTGATTGCTCTATTTAATTATTCAGCACTGTGATATCTCTTTTCCCTAGTTTACTCAGAGGGGGCTTAGAAGAACAAACCCTTTCTGTAATAGCTGTGTATGCAGTCAATTAAAGAAGCTGTCAGCTCTTGGTATGATTTCTACATGGGCAGTGTTTGAGATATGTTGCTAAATACATTCTTCTTTTTCAACTTTGCATCTTCAATTTGGGGGGAAAAAGAAGAAAAAGTAAGCCATTATTCTGACCACGTACCTCAGAAAGATTGTACATTTGATGACTGCAGCTACAATATTTCATGTCTTCTCTAAGCCTGCTTTATCTTATGTGCCAAGCACCAGGATACAACCAAGCAAGGATGTTGAAAGCATACTGTCAATTCATCAGTTTTTCAGAATTCTTGGTCATCTGGGTATTTTATAGAGTTTATCATCTTTGATGTGAATAACTCAAGCATGTATACTTTGAAGATGCCCCCTGAAAATGTTCTTGTAGAATACAAACACCAAAGAAGACGAGGGAGGATGGATTTTTAAAAGTATAAATACTTACAGAATGTACTTTTCACCATTTCCTTGTCTTTAATAATAGTACATTTATCCAAAACACTCAAATAAAGTGTAACAGCATAATGTTGTTTCTTTATTTTGTAGGCTAGCCAGATTTTTTACCATGCTCATTTTGTGAGAATTTGTATGTTAGTATATATAATAAATATATCTAATATACAGAGACTAAAGAAACAGATTCATGCAACATATGTTCAAACAAGGTTTGCTGGTGCAGGTAGCAGTGTCCAGAAATTCTAGGTACTGATCCATTTTGTTCAACAGGATTGTAACATATTAAGCTTGTTGATTACTTACCAAACAATAATGAAAACATCCTACATAATGTGGAATTAAGGACAGAAACTTGAGGCCTTCATGAGTCCATATGTCACAGTTTCCTGTGACAAGTGAAGCAGAAGGTTGAAGTAAAACAAGTAAATAAATAGATGAAAACAAAGCCTGTATTTGTTTGTAAGAGATTAAACCTCACAAAAAAAAAATCTTAAATATTTTATATTTTGGTATATGTACGTCCTTCAAGTTTGTAAATGGTACAAATACAGAAAAGTTCTATGTAATAACTTCATTTAAAAATATAATTGGATTCCACAAAACTTTTACTAAAACCAGGAAAAACACCTGTCATTATTTGACAGATTAGTAGAACAAGTATCAATAGCAAAGGGAATGCATAGCAACCAAGAAGGCTGGAATTTAAACAAAAGCCGAGTTATGGTAATAGCTGGACAAAAACAACTATCCAAATGATTTTAAAATTTCCATGAAATCATTCATTGGAAAAGGCTGAATTACCAAAGACTTTAAAATGAAAAACCTATGAAAAATTAGTCCTTTTGAAACATGCATGTAATGCTGTTATGCCTGTGTGAAATCAGAAAAGGTATCCGAACAATAATTCCTCTGTTTTTTACTGATGGTACTTAAGAGATGCTTTCTCTGAAGGTTAGCATATTGAGCTGTGTATTAAAAGCACCTTGCACCGCTCTTGACAGGGAAACTATATAAAATGGCAAGTAACATTTTATAAAATATTTACAATGCAGTTCAGATGAGAGCAGGCCACTAAAATACTGTCTAACAATAATCAAGAAGGTGCAGTGAAAGTATGTGTGAATACTGAAATTCAGAGGTGCTGAATTGGGCTTTCCAGAACTTGTGTGTTCCTGCACTTTTCCTCCCAGCCAAACCCCCTTTGAAGCCAGATCAGTACTCTGGGCTTCAGCCTGAGGTCTGTATTAGACACTGCTTGAGAACTGCTTGGGATGCTGTTGTTGGCACCAACAGCACAGGTGATGAAAGTTTACTGCAATGCCCATCAACATTTGTGCACATGTTGTTTTTAATCCATGTCCTTGAAAGTGCACAAAACTGATCTACAGCAGAAACATCAGTACCTGGAAATTTGTTCTAGATTTCCCCCAGGGATGTGAACTACTCTGAACTCTGGGAGATGGAAAAAACTTCTACAAGTTTCTATGGTTTTAGGGCACTAATCGTAGCTGATGTCATGACACAGATAACAAGGTACTTTTCTTTTGTCATAAATAAGAGATGTTCACTGTATGTGCTCTCTCCCTGATGCATATTCTAGTCTTTATGTTACTATCAAATATTATAAAGCAATGTTGGAGTGTAGGTTATTCACTCATCAGGGATATGTAAATCCTGTTAATTCTAGAAAGTATGTTTAATAAAATTGCATCATTGGCAGAGACCTTTATATGGCTCTGTACTGTGTTTCTTAGAGAAAATCCTTTGCATAAGGTTCAAAGACAAAAACTGTTTTCCAGAGGAGCTGGGTGCCTAGGCTGCTTAGGCATTTTGAAAATCCCACTAGGCCTCTATTTACAGCTTTTTGGCACCTAAAACCCCTCAAAAATCTGGCTCGGGAGTTATTACAGTAACACAAAGGAATAATAACTTATGTTTTTCATGCCAGAAGGATTTTACTGACACTGAGCATCTTGATGTTACACTGGGGGAAATTATATTTACATATTTGAGAGCACTGAATTAATTATAACATAAAATAAGACTTTGTTTAACATATGTAAAGAATCTGTTCTCAAATACACTATTTCTTGTAAGGCTTGAGATTAAGTGTTTTACCAAGCCTAGGAAAGCTGTAAAGAGGGAGATGGCCAGTGTTCAATTAGTTGTGGTTGATTAGTAGTATGAAAACCAGACATGGAGCAATCAAAATAGGTTGCTCAGCCTTAATGCCAGATCCATCACTATTATTTTTATTTTTTCTTCCTTGCTATTCTTTTCCTTCAGCCTCTTAAAGTCTGCTTGTCCAATTTCCTGTTCCTACGAAAATATCTCATATAATTTTAAAATATCCTTGAAATGATACATTTTGACAATTTAATGTTATGAATCAGAAAGAAGAGCAGATATTTTGGCTTCTGGGTTATCCTTAAGCAAGGGAGGAAATGAATGTAGTCTAGTATATGTACTGAACTATGTATATATTTTCTTCATGGCCTCAGGAAGACCTCAGAGCTGAAAGCTCTATATTAATTTTTGATGGCTAGTTTCTATTCTCATAAAACTGTTTCTTTATATCTGTGTAGTACAGTTGAAGCAGCAAGAGTTATAGGGCTGGGAAAATGTCAGTAATACTTTTATAATCTAATTTTATACTCACGACCATAATTGCAGAACCCAGGTTTTGACTCGTTTTTCTGTAACTCAGGTTGTATATCCATCTGTGATAAAATGGCTGAAAATAAAGTTGATAGTTGATCTATCTTAGGCAGGATTTTTCCACCTTGCTTCCTCTCTTGAACATGAGCAATGAGAATTGCAAGATACAACATTTCTGACGCATTCTGAAGAACCGGTAAAATCCAAATTCTTTGCTATGCTAAAAATAAAAATCCAACTTGACATAGAAATGGGGATATTTACCACTGAAGTAGATTTGTGATGAAATAGATGCTTGTGCTGTACACCTGTTTGTTTGCACTCAGTTTGCGCTGATGGAAATAGAGAGTGACACCTCACTGGATCCAGCACAATGTCTGCAACAAACTTTAGCATAGTACTCTGATGACCAATACCCCATTCTCTAGGAAAGGAAAGTACACAGTTTGCATAATCTCTTCTGTAGCTGTTTGGAGATAACTGTGTGCTTAAAAGCAGGAGGGTAGTTACCTTTTCCCTACTGTACCTGCCACAGATACCAGTACATACCAGGGCAAATAGTAGAAAGCAGTGCTGGCAATGCACACCGAAGTTATATTTAAACACATCTCTAATGCTTTCTCTTCTTCTTTTGTTGCCTTACTATCAAAACAGCAAAGTGTTTCTTTTATTGTAAAGTCAATTTCAATAACTTATTTTTGTTTGCTCTCTTAAATCTGTTTTTTAATCAAATTAATTACATGGAAGTAGCTAGCGTACAGGTATATATACGAGTACAAATACAATGTATTTTTATACTGTTATTTAGTTGTATTCTAAGACATAGTTCTTAACTAACAATAAGAGGAATTAATTTTTTTTTTTAATAAACTGAAAATTATTGTGCCCTGCAATTTAGAAAAGTGAGATTTAGAAAAGATTTGAAAGCAGAAATTGATGGAACTGGGCCATTAAACCAGCTGAAGACCTGGATGATATTTTCAGATAAATTTGCCATGACCAATATTATTTGGATAAAGTCTTTACAGGTAATGGCTCTTTTGAAGAACAAATGCATATTTGCACCTGTCTGGAGTACTTCTGTACATGAATTCCCAGCTGGTAAAAAGCAAATGATGTTTCTGCTTGTGTAGCACCTGGTTTTGATTTCAGAGGGGAAACAGAAGAAAATTACTTCAATGGGTGGCGACATTAAATACAGCTGCTGTCTGCCAGAAAGCATGTTATCTCCCTCTTACCCAAGTGAAAACACTTCTACCTTGCATCATGGATAAGATCAGAGCTCCAGCTGTATTCTCCCAGAGGAAGAGACAGAAAGGGATACATACCCCAAATCTTACTTGCAGTTATGAAATAAAGTTCAGTGAGTTTGTCATTTTTATTATTCAGAGGAAGATGGGCAGGACCAGAAGGACATTTTTGATGGAGCTGGCAAGAAGAAAAGGCTTCAGAGTAGAAAGTGAACTAAGGTAGGAAAATATTTATATGTGTAAAAATAACATCTAGTAATGCTGCTTGAAACATTCTAATTTGATAAATGCAGTCATACAAGTGACTGTGGTTGAAGCTTTTGCCTGTGTATTGGTGGGTATATGTTACTCTTCTGACTATAAAGATGCTTCAGGATTTCAGTAGGTGCTCCTAAAGTATGTCTTCTGGGCAGAGTAGGTGGAATATAAACAGCAACATTTCTTATTTTTCATCTCTAAAATCTGTGGTTTTAATTTGTCTTAAGTCTGTCAATTTTAACGTGTCTGCCTTTTCAGTGTGCAGCTTCTCACATGGAAAATAAAAAATGCAAGGTGTGAACTTGCAAATATTTTTCATGGGATACGTTTCTGTGTATCTGTATAGTCTCAATGGAATCAATGAGTCATGTCTTCAGCTGATTTAAATAGGCTATTTTCCCCTTGAAGTCAGATGAAGATTAATCTGAATTTAAAGGCCAATTCCTGAAATGAAAAAGGTTAAACATATAGGAAGGGAAAATATGTGTGCGTGTGTCAGGGCATTTCTCTAGAACATCTCTGATATTCTAATATTTAATCTTCCTGTGAGTAATACTCTGATGTATCAAAGTTACTGGCTTGCATTTGGTACAATCTGGACAGAGCACTGGAGAAAAAAAAAAAGTAAGAATAAAATACCACAGATGTGGCATTTCAGGGTGAAATTATACTCCAGCTGTAGATTCATCCTGTGATGTTTCAATAACCCAACTCATTTTGAAGGAAGCCTTCTTCCAAATAGTGCTTGTCATGAGTGCTAGTTATATAGTTTTGCAGTTTTTGGAAAGATACATCATTAGGTATGTTGTCTGAAAAGCTGGAAGAAAACCTAGTATTGATCGTTTCTCTGTATCTGTATGCAGATAGTATACAACTGGGTCCTCCTTATAAAAGCTCATTTCCACAGATTTTTCAATCCCATCAACTTTGAAAGCCTGAGGAAGAAGGGAGGATGAAATAATTTGTAAAGCAAGATTCAAGCAGGTATTGAACAGAAGTAGGCAATTAGTGTCTGATACAAAACTAATTGAAGTCTCAGGGAAAAAAAATTAACTGGGCTGTTCTGAAACCTACATTAACAATCCGTTGAGGACTGAGTAGAGGCTTTATCTGAGCTGCTTTGACACGCAGGTTTTTACTGCCAGTATTTCAGACTTTTCTGTAAGTTGTATGCAAGGCAGGAGCTGTGTTTCATTTCAGCTTAGATGCTACTGGATAAAACTATTTAACTGTTGCTTTTTGGTTTGTTTGTTTTTTTTTAAATACTAGAGGAAATGCTAAATCTGTTATATTCTGTGCCAAGAAAAAAAGCACAGCTGTACAGGTAGCAGAGGAAACTGGTGCACAGCAGCAACAAAACTGCTGCTGTGAGCATAGCAATGGCAAAGTTCCCAGAGCTGCAGCTTGGTATAAATATATTACATATGAATATTTTATATAAAGTGAAATAAACCACAGGAAACAGAAGTTCTATGTCCCTAACTGATTTTTTTTTTTTTTTTTTTTACTCAACTAAAGATGTGATGGTTTAGTGACAGTAGAATCAAGCAGGGTTAAATAATAATATTAGTAGCACTTTTATTCTTGTTTCTTTTTTGGTCTTTTTTTTTTGTTTTTTTTTGTTGAATTTTGTGTGTGGTTTTTTTTTGCAATGGGTTGTCCTTTACAAGTTGTAGCCCACAGAGGAAAAAAATTGTGCTATAACATGATGTTTTTCATCTTTCTGAAATATAATATATTCAATACATTTCTTATGTTTCCAAAATATAGTAGATTTAATGCATTAGAAAATTATGTGATAACAGTTTCTTCTGTGATGACTCCAGTATTTGTCATTGCGATTTGGCAATTTAATGAAATCAGTGGTTATTGTTAGGAATCGGGGTCACAGGGTTTTGTTGGTCTCCTGGAATGCAGTTTGCTTTGAAAGGTTGTGTGGTCTGCCTTTAACAGCTACACAGCTGTCTCTACCAGTGCTGTTCTCTCTGCTTGGACAGGTTAGTGGCTTAGTATCTTCAGGTGTTACAGAAGGGCTGCAAAGCAATCTGTTGGGTCTGTTTACTGCATACACACAAGGCTGTCACCAGATGGGCTACCAGAAGGTTATGGAAGCTCACAAATGGAGGTGGCTGCCATCAGGATAACTTTTATTCCAGTTCTAGACTTATTTTTATAAAACCTAAATAAAATAATGACGCCGTCTGTCTGTGCCTTTACCCCAAGAAGTTTAGGAATCTATTTACTGATACCAGTTATTTTTGGCATATATTTTTGAGATACTGAGGTCCTAGAGGTTTCATAGAAATGAAGAATTTGCTCCTTTATTTATTATCTTTGTGGGTGACAGCACCTCCCTGGTGTGTTTGTGGAGGGGGAACCCTAGGAATCACTCCAAATTTCTATCAAGTTATTAGTTTTCTAAATTTGCTGAGAAGCACCATCAGGTCAGGTAGAAATTTACAGATCATCCTTAGTATGTGTGTAATTTTTTCTTGAAAAAAATTGTCCCTGTCTTTTACCTTCCTGTGAAAGGTGAAGACCTGTATCTTTTTAATCATGAAGTATCATGGGATTCTGTCTAATGTTATTCTAGGACACCAACACAAATTTAGTGTAATAACATTTGTGTTACTATATTTTAAGCAATGTACACCATATAATCTGATGCACAATAACTCGATCTGTAAATTTCACATTCACTAAACTAGGATAGTAGTTTTGTAAGAGGCTGGCCTCTTAGTAGCAAGGAAGTGGTCTTTAGATGGAGTGCATAATTCATAAGATTTAAGTCATGAATATTTGACAATGCCATATGTAAAGACTGTAATGTAAGTGCAGGAAAGTTAGGTTTACAGAAAGATATTACTAGCTGTAAAGCTTAAAGAATTATTGTTAGCAGACTTTTTAATGCTGTAAAGCTTTCATTCATTGATCAGAAATATTTGGAAGGGTCTCTTGGGTGTCATAAAGCAGCCTTTTCATTATGGTACTGCTCCTACAAGCCAAATATTTTCAGAGTTGCAAAAAAAAAGTGTGATAGTACCTTAGGGAAGGAAGATGATGCTGAAAAAAAAAAAAAGCTGCATTTACAGGAGCCGTCAGACTAAAGTCTTTCCTCAAACTAGATTCAGTGACTGTAATAGATATATTGTGATATGAAACAGAAACTGCTTCCCACATCCTAATGTAGAATATATACTACAGTTTTCAGGAAGTGCATGGTAAGTAAATAGGGAAATAGCAGCTCTGCACATGTGTTCAGGAAAAAAAAGAAAGTTTCTTTTTGTGTACTTTTTGACAGTGACTCTGTCACTCATATTGTGGCCGAGAACAACTCCTACCCAGAGGTGATGGACTGGCTGAGAGGACAGGGTGTGGACGATAGCTCCAGGTTTGAACTACTGGATATCTCCTGGTTTACAGCCTGCATGGAAGCGGGAAGACCAGTTGATTCAGAAGTGAAATATCGTCTCATGGTAAGAGAGGTCCTTCAGTGTGAATCATAGAATCATAGAATAGTTAGAGTTGGAAAGGACCTTAAGATCATCTAGTTCCAACCCCCTGCCATGGGCAGGGACACTTTGCAATAAAGCATCTCACTCAAAACTCAATCCAACCTGGTTTAAGCACTGCCCAGAGATGGAATATTTACCACTTCTTTGGGCAACCCATTCCAGTGCCTCACCACCCTCGCAGTAAAGAACTTCTTCCTTATATCTAACCTGAACTTCCCTTGTTTAAGTTTTAACCCGTTACCCCTTGTTCTATCACTACAGTCTCTAATGAAGAGTCCCTCCCCAGCATCCTTGTAGGCTCCCTTCAGATACTGGAAGGCTGCTATGAGGTCTCCATGCAGCCTTCTATTCTCCAGCCTGAACAGCCCCAACTTTTTCAGCCTTTCTTCATATGGGAGGTACTCCAGTCCCCTGATCATCCTCATGGCCCTTCTCTGGACTTTTTCCAACAGTTCCATGTCCTTTTTATGTTGAGGACACCAGAACTGCACACAATACTCCAGGTGAGGTATCACAAGAGCAGAATAGAGGGGCAGGATAACCTCCTTCGACCTCCTGGTCATGCTCCTTTTGATGCAGCCCATGATACGGTTGGCTTTCTGGGCTGCAAGTGCACACTGAAGCCGGCTCATGTTCATTTTCTCATCAACCGACACCCCCAAGTCCTTCTCCACAGGGCTGCTCTGAATCTCTTCTCTGCCCAACCTGTAGCTGTGCATGGGATTGCTCCGACCCAGGTGTAGGACCTTGCACTGGGCATGGTTAAACTTCATGAGGTTGGCATCAGCCCAACTTACAAGTGTGTCAAGGTCCCTCTGGATGCCATTCCTTCCCTCCAGGGTATCAACCAAACCACACAGCTTGGTGTCATCAGCAAACTTGCTGAGGGCGCACTCAATCCCACTGTCCATGTCAGCGACAAAGATGTTGAACAAGTCCGGTCCCAGCACTGATCCCTGAGGGACACCACTCGTTACTGGTCTCCAGCCAGACATTGAGCCATTGACCACAACTCTTTGTGTGCGGCCATCCAGCCAGTTCTTTATCCACCCAGTGGTCCATCCATCAAATTGATGTCGCTCCAATTCAGAGACAAGGATGTCGTGTGGGACAGTGTTGAACACTTTACACAAATCCAGGTAGATGACATCAACTGCTCTACCCCTGTCCATCAGTTCCACAGCCCCATCATAGAAGGCCACCAAATTGGTCAGGCAGGATTTCCCCTTAGTGAAGCCATGCTGGCTGTCACCAAGCACCTTGTTGATTTTCATGTGCCTTAGCATGCCTTCCAGGAGAATCTGCTCCAAGATTTTGCCAGGCACAGAGGTGAGACTGACTGGTCTGTAATTCCCTGGGTCATCCATTTTCCCCTTCCTGAAAATGGGGGTTATATTTCCTTTTTGTCCAGTCATCGGGAGCTTCACCTGAGTACCATGATTTTTCATATATGATGGACAGTGGCTTAGCAACTTCATTTGCCAGCTCCTTCAGTGACATTCAAAATACAGTGACAGTACCAAATTCAAAATAAAAATAAAAAATTCAAAATACAACTACAAAATTCAGAATACAGTGGCATTCAAAATAAATGACTGTGTGATTATTTATTTATTTATTAACCTAAAAACATATATACTTATGTTGTGACAGCATTCCTGACTTTAAAAACTTTTTTTTCCTGAAATTTATATGAGTAATTCACATGAGCTTAATAGATGAAAACGACTTTTCATACCTTCTATATCAGTGTTTGGTAATGCAAAGTTACTACACTGTCACCTTTTCTGAAAAAAAAAAACAAAAAACACCGTGGGTGCTATTAAAGGGGAAATATCCGTAATATCTATCAATGCAGCACTTGCTGTTGTTGTAGTACCTGTGGCGTTTCCACATATTTTTCAGCATCATGGTAAATGCTCCCCTGAGAGCAGTGTGTTTTAACAGGCTCTTGATGGAATGCTTTGCCTCTTCAAAACCATACAAAAATATTAAAACCTTTTTTTGTTTAGAAATGATCATCTACTGGGCTGTTGAAGGACCTGTGAAATGAAGGCTGCTACAGTCTGTGTATATGGATTTACAAACTTGGCACCATCAAGTAAAACTGTGCTAAGAAAAAGAGGTTTTATTATATTGTATTATCTCTCGATGGGAGCTGTAATTCAGATGATACTGTGAATGGCAGGCTATTTGGTAAATGGTGTTTGACCTTGAAACAATGGATGTTGACATGTTTTCCTCTGATCTATATCTGATAGAAGTATGTGCTAATTTTTCAAACTGGAAAGTGGTAGTGTGAAATGGTGGTATTCAGTACCCCCACTAGAGACTGTTAATGATGAGGGTGTGGTAGGGATGACTGGGTGTGTTGTGCACAGCTCAGTGATAGTATGTGTTGCTAGGCCATGAAATAATGCTGCAGTGCAGCAGGATGAACCTGTTCTCTTGTTCTGCACACTTGAGCCTCACAGTGATTGATTTAATGTGTGCTGGTGAGGAAATTAATTCATACATCAGGCGAATTAAAGGTCTAATCTAAAGCTTTGTGAAGTGAGGGATTCCTGCTAATTTCTGAAGGTTTCCATGTGAACCGTAACCCCACTGCAAACCAATAACTGTGAAACCCATAAACAGTGGGACCATGGCAGGATCTGCAGCATGTACTTTCCTGTGAGCCCTAGGATGCCTTAATATTTAACAGCAATATTGTGCTGTTTTCTGCTTCTTCATATTGGTGCTTAGATTACTAAGGATAATTCATAACCACTACCCTTCCCCAAGAAAAACTGTTGCTCCTGATTTATTTTTTTCAGTCAGCTTTCATTGCCAGAAATTATTTTTCAGGATTTTACATGTAAGAATTGCTGTTTAATGACACTTGGCGGGGGGGAAGTAGTGAATACACCAGATGGAGCTGTCGCTCTCAGACTTGACAGAATATGTGTTTATATTCGCAATCTTTCCAATGAAATATTTTTCTAGTATATTTATAATATTTTCAGCGAATCTGCTGGAGGGAGAATAGATCAAAGAAATCCATGCAAACCAAAAAACTAAAAATCTTGTAACTACTGCATTATGTAATCTCGCAGGCAAAAAGGTCATAAAAATATGGCTACTCAGAATGCAAAGAAGTTCTCTAAAAAAGAAATAAATCTAAAACGTGAGCAAAATCCTGTGACTTTTGTGAATTTTCACATCATGATTAAAAGTAAACCAAATTGCCCTTTATTTACATTATTTTCAGCAGTACGTGAAGATCTATAGGTTCAGATAGCTCAGAGAATATCTTTTAAGAGATTTACCTTTTTTTTCCCCAAAGCAAGAAATGCCTTTGTCTGTCTCCAAAATGTCTCCCAACAATGCTGAAACTTACTTTGAAGAAAAAAAGAAAAGAAAAGAAAAAATCAATGAGAAGGCCACTGCTTTAGTTTTCTTTTATATCTAAAAGTCCTTCTCGAATACTGCTGGAGCAGAAACTTCTGAAAAAGGTAACAGCACTGTCAGGAGATCATTATTATGCTTTGAGACTGGCTCTGCAAGTAAGAATTTCTGGTTTTATTGAAACATAAAGATTTCATGCTAATAAATGTAGAGTGCAATAAGCAAGCCAGTGACAGCTGTACAATTAACTTTAAAGCTTATAGTTAAAACCAGTCTTAATTATGTAGTGGCTCTAAAGTAATAAACATTTTTGTAAAGCAAACAAGGAAGAAAGAGAGAGGATTTTAGAAGCTGAGCCAATTTAAAAAGAATTTTATTGTTGCGATGTCACCATGATTTTTTTCTTTTTTTTATGCCTTGAGAGATGAGGAAGGATTGAATTAAAGGTTAATTTTCTTTTTAAGTACTAGACCGAACTCATACATAATGTAATTTAATTGGAGCTTCACTGAAGACAAATTTGGTCCATTATGTCAGACTTGTAAAATGTGAAATGAAAGTGAATTAGCAAACTTTGAACTGAGGCTACATTGTGAAGGTTTTGAGGTAAAGTTGGCTAATGTTTTGGGTGAAGTCTTGTCTACATTTCTGTTAGTGATACAATTCCTATTAATAGCAGTAAGATTTCATATTTCAGATCTTACAGTAGCCTGTTTGTAAGGTCATTCTTCATTCAGGACATTTGTACTAAAAAGAAATGTCCTTCTCCGTGCAAAACAAGGGGAATAAAGTCGGAGTCACAGACCATTAGCTAACATACTAATTGCAATTGTCACTAAAGTACATCTTTCTGCCATTGCTAGTGATCTGAGAGATGCTCTGATGGTAGTGATTTATAGAGTATAAAAGGTTGGGTGACCAGATCAAAGATGGTCTGAATTCTTATTGATTCATTCAGTAACAGTTGACTTTTACAGTTAATAGCTATCATTTAATTTAATAGGCTGTGAAAGTGTGGTAGCCAAACATCTGCTTTAAAGGGAAATTCAAACCTCTGTTAAAAGAATGCCTTTGTCCAGAGACACCTTTCCCACCACAAGCAGATGGGCATTTTGGACAATAGCAGGACATGGACATTAATATGTATGCAAAGTCATCTTCACATGCTAGAAAGTAGTGCTGTTACCTGGGTAATAAAAAGAAAGAGGCAGAGAGGAAGCTTTCAGTGGGATAAAAAGAAAGTGAGAGAACCACAAGTGGGTTGGCATGCACAGCAGCCTTATGAACTCTGTTATCACTGCTTATCTTCTGCCTTTTCCTTAGTCAGAACCCAGAAGTCCCTTTTTTAGAAAGGGAAGTATTTATTTCCTTGAACAAGGGATTTCCCTTCATATTAGGAAAAGGAAGTAGTGCATCTTTTGATCCTTTGTCATATCATGTGACAGGCAACTGATATGTAACATCTTCCAGAGTGTCTTGCTCTGTTTCCTTGTGAGAGAGGCTCTAACTGATGGTAGAAATTCTTCATACTAACAGTCATTTTCCCAGAAAATAAAATGCAACTTGTAAACTGGCTGCCTTGTCTTCATAAAATACTGGGTATCTGGAGACTTTGGTATTTGATCAGTGCTGCCTGGACTTCACAAAGCTGCTGGCTGTTGAATAATGTGGCCTGACACAGGCTCTAGTGTCTGCACTCTTTATTTACTGCTGCTCCATATTCTCTCTCTATTTCCCTATGTTATTATATTTCTTTGTATTAAAATAATAGATTGACAAAGAGTAAAGTAGTACCCTACAAGATCATAAAGGCAACTAAGCCTTTATGCTGTACAAGCTAACGCTAGTGGTACAGGCCGATTTTCCTGCTATGCCATGTCGAAAATGTCGCTGTGAAAGAGTGGCAGTGACATTCACTGTTACTGCAGCCTGGGTTTGGGGTACAAACTCTGACTAGCTCTAGAATTAAGTAATCTACACATTTGGATACTTTTCAGTGGTTGCCTCTCTGCAGTGTACCGTAATTTCATTTTAATGTACTGCAGTTATCTACAAAAAAAAAAAAAACAAAACAAAAAACCAAAAACCAAAAACCCCCAAAACCGGGAATTGTAATGCTTACATTTTTTTCAGATCCATAGTTGTTTCTTCCTAGTATTGCAAATTATTTTGAGGTAGTGTGAGTTTCCAGGATTGCTTGTTCTACAGTGTAATTGCTACTGGATGAAATTTTAAGCTTGTCCCATAATTTGTACAAATGATTTTATCCCATCTGGTCTTCCCACTGAAAAGCAGTATCAATCCTGTTCTTTGATTCTGCTGATGATAGAAAATCATGTATGTCATTGTCATGCAGGCATTGAAATATTCCCTAAAAATCAGACTATAGTAATTACTGTTTGCTAGATGATTTTGCTATTGCTTTCTAGCTGAAGTGTCTTCTTTGGTTATATAGAATCAAGTCCTGTTATTTAAAAGCATAACTATGATTGATTAAGAAATGCTCAAATATCTTTGATAGGGCAGAGACAGGATATTTATGTGCCAGTTTGTCACCCTTTTAAACACAAAGTTTCTGTGTTAATTTTGCTCTCATACACAATGCCAGGTAATGCTGCATGTAAGACTTTTGTTCTTTGTGTGTCTATGTCCTAATTAAGATAATAGCTTATTATATGTTCTATTCAGTCACATTCTGTTTGTTCAGAGTCTTTGCAGCTGGCACTATAATTTCAAGTGTTGTGTTAGAATCATAGAATCGACTAGGTTGGAAAAGACCTTTAAGGTCATCAAGTCCAACCATTATCCCAGGACTGCCAAGACCACCACTAAACCATACCACCGAGGGTTTCATCTACATGGCTTTTGAACACTTCCAGGGGCAGTGATTCTATTACTTTCCTGGGGAGTCTGTTCCAGTGCCTAATCACCCTCTTTGTGAAGCCAGTCTAAACCTCCCTTGGTACAGCTTGAGGCCATTACCTCTTGTCCTACCCCTTGTTCCTTAGGAGAAGAGACTGACCTGTGCACCTTACCGCAACCTTCTTTCAGGTAGTTGCAGAGAGCGTAAGGTCCCCCCTGAGCCTTCTCTTCTCCAGACTAAACAACCCCAGCTCCCTCAGCCCTTCGTCATGAGACTTACTCTCCAGACCCTTCACTAGCTTTGTTGCCCTTTTCTGGACCTGCTTTTGCTGTAATCAATCGTTGTTTATATGATTTAAAAATCACTTTTAAAGTATAATTCATGAATGTGTGCAAAAGTGGATGAGTTGTGCTGTTGATCCTGGCTGAAACCCATTTTGGTTATTCCCAAGAGTGGTCTTACACATAAAATAACTTACTTCCTTTCAGTGTATACTATAAAACCTACCATATAATTCACTGCTCCTTCAGCTGTGCAAGCAAAAGCTTTTTGTGTGTGTCTGTGAATACTGTTAACTATTCTGCATCAAATACAAAGGCAATTTAGCATGAAATTATATGTAGGCTCTGTGTGTGTGTGAAGGCACACACACATATTTATGAGTTTGTCTAGCACAGATGCTAGTTTTATGTCTACATGTCTTTAGATACAGGAGAGAGAGGGCTCAACATTCCATTTTGGGGGTAAAAATTTCTCTTGTGTATCTTTGTGGTATTTTTGTTGTTGTTGAACCATTTCCCTGTGGCTTTTGGATAGTGCAATGCAGTATGCTTTTGACAGATCTGCCAAATGTCTTCAGACAAAATGACAAATAGCAAACAATACACAGAAACACTGAGAATGTTTTCAGCATGTCCAAAGTATTTTGGATTTGGGCATTTTTAATGAAACCAAAGGAATTAAAAGAGTGGGCATATAAAGCACAAGGCTGGTGCTAGATTGTCTTTTTGTAGTTGCTGTTGAAGATATTGAAGACTCATGCTCTTGTGCCAATGGGGACATGACTATGTATCTTACGTTTTGAGATAATTCCCTTCCCACCCTACTGGGGAGCTTGGTCAATCTTGCATCAAAATTAGGCGAAAAGCAAATGCAAATGTAGGTAGCCTGGGCATGGAAAACTTGCATGTAAGATTTAGTACCTGGATCCTTTTCCTTGCTCAGTGAACACCTAAAAATTATATCTGAATTGGATCAACCACGTACTGAAGGGACGGAGTGAGAAACCGCATCATAAGGTGAATGCCGGCTGTTGGGTGAAGGCATTGAGGTGACTCTTCTATGGCTGTCTGTAAATGTTTCCTTAGCTTTATAATGACCGCAAAATAGAACATTTAGCTTAATGAATTAAACCCAGACAAAAAATATTTTCTTTTATTTTATCTGGAAGGGGAGGGGGAAAGTGAATTTTGAAGTAATGCAAACATTTTTCCTTCACTACTGGATCTGGCTACAGATCTCAAAAGTCAATTATTTGAGATTTGAGCATACCTCTCTCTCTTTTCTGTCCCCTCCCCCCCCCCATTATATTGAATAATCTAGTGTTTTCCAGGAAAACTCTGTTCTTTCAAGCTTATCCACTCTCAAAGCTTTCTAGTTTTTCAATCTCACTGCAATAGTATGTAGAGATACTTGCCATTTAGAGAGGCTTTTTTTTCTATTTTTTTTTTTAATGACAAAACCATTGAAAACTTCCTGGAAGAACTTACTGCAGGAAATGAAAAATCCCAGTAATCACTAGAAAAAATGGTATTGTCTGTGCAGCCAATGTGAAATTAAATGTTTTTCATAGGAAGATAGTAGGAGCAGTATTATTCTCTTGCCTTCTTTTTAAAGGTACATATTCTGGTCTTGTGAAAAGTATTTCTGCAATTTTTTGAAGGTGTTTGGTGTGTCACCATCATTTCCTTCTTTTTTTTTTTTCCCTTGTTAGGAGCAAGGCTATTCTCCTCCTTTGAATATGCCTGAATCAGAAGCACTACCATTTATTGCAAGCAAAGTATCTCAGTATTCGTGTCAAAGGAAGACAACTTTAAATAACTGCAACAAGAAGTTCACGGTAATACTTATTCTATCCATTAAATAAAAACTAACTTAAGTAAAATAATTAATACAGTACTTGCACCAATGTATTTGATAGCTCCTTCATCAAATTCAAGAGTTAAACAGGCAGCATAATGTTACCAAGTTTTAAAAGTTTTAAAAATGCCATACTTAAAATTGAGTGCAAGCTTAATTGCATCAAGTATTACTGAAAGCTTAACACAGTGGGTGTTGAAATAAACTAATAGCTTGTAAACACATGAATTTTTAAAACAAGTGATAGAATAACCTTCTGAAAATGTCTTTTAGTCTTCCATCACAGTCTTATTGAACAATCTGGAAGTAATGTTAAGCAAAAGTTTGGTTTAGGTCAATCCAAGGTACTTAACAATTGCGGTGCTGTCTTCTAATTTGCTGAAATGTTTGTTTATTCAAAATGTGGTTGTAGACTTTAGACTTTCAAAATTGCTTAATTATGAAAACAGATTGTGTGATCAATGTAATTACTTTAACATGACCCCCCCCCCCCCCCCCCAAATTATTCTAGTTAAATAGAAATCTTAGAGACTATAGTATTGCCTATTTAATACTTGTAACATTACACAGTTCAGTGGATATGGAAGAGCCCAAGTCATCTGGTCTAAATTCTTCTTGAGTTGTTATGCTTAATTGCTCCTTTTGGCTAGCTGTAGATACTCAGTGACAACTATTCAATAGGAAACATTTGACACAGAGACTTTAATGTAATATATAGTCTGAATAAATCTAGCATAGTTACATTTATACACTTCAACTACAACATGAAACACCTCCTCAGCTTCCTAAAGTGTTATTATTTTTTATTATTTATAATTTTTATGCTTTTACTTTGTGTGTGTGTGCCTATAAATACACACAAATCTTTCAAGTAAATAGTATTTGTAGGATCCATATAAAAAGAATAACAACACATACCAGAAGTGTGAGAATAAAAAACATTTACAAGGTAAATATTAAACCCTCTGGGAGTTCAGAACTAGAGATAAACCTAAAAGCAGCTCTAAAATGTCTTGATCTGGGCATTCACGGCTAAAAATTAAACAACCTGAATTTTGCCTTGTAGTGATGCTTTGAAATAATCATCAGTTTTACCAAATATATATTATACTGTTTATAGTACTCAAGTAGGTTAAACTGTTTGCTTATTAAAAAAAAATATCTCTTTTTAAGCTACCTGATGGGAATTGAGTTTTGACCCTGCTTTGAGCCTGAGGTTGGATTAGAGACCTCCTGAGTCACTTTCATCCCCAATGATTCCAACATTCCCAAAGCTGCTTCTTTTGAAATGGCTAGCTACCTTGCACCATCTCCTGCTAGAAAACAAGGCTGTGAATGTTATCATTTAACTTCTTGAAAGTTGTCATGTTTTTTTCTCTTGTTACAAATACTAAATACATCCTGCCATAGTGAAAGGTCAGATCAAATATAGTATGACCCAAAGATTTTGTAAAATACTGTCCTTCTTGGAGAAATGGGAAATAAGTGCCTTGATTCTATACATCCTGAAAACTGTGGAATGTGAGATGCTGAATTTTCCGTAGTATGACATTTTGTCAGTCATTCTGAAAGTAAAAAACTAAAAGGAATTTTGATGGATAATGGCAAAATACAATGGCTACTCTTTGAAGGCACAAAGTTGTTAATTTTTAATTGTCATTAACATTTTGAGCACAAAAGGTCTAGAATAAGGTAGCTCCCTTTTAAATAATACCTTTTTAATTTTTCTTTTTTTGAAACGTTTAATATCTTTATTTGGAAATTCGCACAGTATTTTTAAATTTTCGAAGACTGCGTACTACAACTCCACTGAATATATAGTTTGTCTTCTAGCTGTTGAATTTCTGAATTTAGTCCAAGATTCAGTGCAAATTAAAACTATGGTAGCAGGAACATATTCATTGAGTGGTTTCTGTTGTACCTGTGTTTCACAGAGAGGCAGTCCTAAATGACTTCCAGGTTTATCATTTCAGTAGTCTTAATCTCAGAGTATTTGTCTCTTGTATTTGATATATGAATCAGATTTCATACAATTATATCAAATTGATATGTCAACTTGTATTTGATAAATGGATTTAGTTGAACACATAAGAAGCAGGGCTGTTTGATGACTGAAGCACTGAGACTCCCTTCTATTATCCTATATATCAAGTTTCTGAGTCTGGGTACAAATTAGGTTTCATAATGACAAAAGTGGCAGTTTTTCATCCTCATATATTGAGCATAGCTGTTCCGAGTTGTGGTATTTTATTTCAGGAGGTGGTACTGGAAAAGTTGCAGTATCTTTCTGCAAAGCATCTGCATCTTGACAGTTGTAATGTAATTCCTTAGGGCCATTACTCTTTTCCTCACAACCAAAGCTTGCAATGACAACTGAAGGCTTGGGTGTTTATGGACTGCAAGAGCTGGCCCATTCCCTGGAGGCCTGCCAGTTAGTTTGCCTAATGTCACAGGAACCTGAATTTCTGTGTTTTGTCAGTCTTGTATTAAACCTATAATTCATGTTCTCAAATAAAAGTGTTCCAACAGGTTGTTACAGTATGAGCACTTAGCAAATGCACTGAAGCATTGGTAGAATTCACTTGTGCATGCTGTGGGCAGCCAACCATTAAATGACAGATTTGTCCTGGATTGATGTCCTACGTTCTGAAAATTTGGTCCAAACTACCTTGAATTATTTGTTGATGGTAGTGTTTTGTTATAACAACTTTGTTCTGTGACCCAGGGTTGTTCCTTTTTCTTATAGATTTTGTGTTTGATTAGCTGAAAGACAATGTTTTTGATCTTGCCTGTAACAGGGACCCAAAGCTGCTACTTGCTTATGCATTCTTACAGATGAACACATGGATTCTTCCTTTTAGCAGACTTTGTCCTGATACCCTGTATCAAATTCCTTTTTCAAATGAGCATTAGTTATGTTTGCAAAAGAGTAATAGTTATGTTTGACATCTTTTAGTCTCTTGAGAAGAGCAGGTAAACAGTCACCAATAGGCAGTGATATATGTGCAGTGATATATGTACAGTGAGGCTTTGAATGTGCTGATTTCTGGGGAAAGACACTTTTAGAGACTTGATTTCTGGAGAAATTGGTAAATAGTGACCAGTTTTAATCTTGGGTCCTGTTCTGTATACATTTTACCATGAAAGACCATTTATTAAAACCAAGCGGTAGATATATTCGATGAGAGGTCATGAGGACAATTTGGTGGTTTAACACGCTATGGGCAATTTCTGTGCTCCACTGTCCCATGTTTCCTTTCTGTAAGAGCCAGAAAATAACTTGCAGAAAGGTGCAATAAACCAGTGTTATATTGTGGAAGAACCTACAGAGGGGTTGGCAAAGACTCTGCAGATGACAGTTTCATGACTATGTTCAGTATGGTGCAAGCCCTCCCTGAATTACTTTTTTATGAGCTGTTAAGTAGCAGCAAGGCCTGTTGTGTAAAGAATAGACTAAGTATGTGAAATCGCATTTCAAGGAGACAGTGGCATTGTGTGGCAGTTCATGTAGAAGAAATGCAACTGCTTTGGACTTGTGGGTCCTTATGTAGTCTTTGGGTCACCGTGCATCGCATACTGTAGCCTCACAGTACATAGTCTGGGAAGCACTGCCATGAGCTTAACCGATTTGAGTGAGTGCACGTGAACACATAGCCCTGACTCTGTAGGTGAACTGTTGCTGTTCAGATGCGTAAAGATGCAAAACAAAAGGGCAGATCATTTCACCAGAGTTTGTACCTTAGCATGTTTCCTTATTTTTTTGTCTTAAACATTAACGTTATTATAGAATATAATATCACAGTATTATGTTCTCTGGCTTATTTGTAAACAGCTAGCCATCCTCTTCCTCTCTCACTGAAAATATACACTTGGGGGCTGCATTGTGTTTTCTTGTGGCAAAATAAATGCAGTCATTCTGCTGTGCCCAAGAGGGGTTGTTGGATTTGAATATTAATACCAGACTGCAATAAAATTCAAAACATTCTTCTGTGAGAAAAATACAATTTAATTCTTACAAAGAAACTAATTAAGTCAAAGGCGAATGGTTGTCTGATTCTGAGGCTTATTGCTAATGCTACTAAATGTTACTCTGCTTCTGCTGTTACTCATCATAATGTAAATGTGGATGTTTAGCATGGGAAAAGATGCTTGGTTTCCTTTCCACTCTGTTAGAGGGGAAAAAAGGAAAATCCCTTTTTTATTTTCCCTTCTTTTGTGCCTGCAGAAACATGTATCAGTTGTGCTAGTGGCTCAAGCATTTTTTATGATTATTCCATTTTAAAACAGACCTCAGGAGAACCTTAACTTTGATTTTATAATGAACTTTGGAACTCAGGTAGAAAACAACTCACTGAATGCTCTACAAACTTTTAAAATGTATGTAATGTGTATACCTATTCAAAATGAGCTAGTAGTTTGGTCTGAAGAGGTCTATGACCTCTTCTCATTTGGAAGGTAAGTGGGAGGGTGCCCCTTAAAATACAGACAGAAAATAAACATACCTTTACCTTTCAGAAACCTTTGTACATATACCTCAAGGCTATGCTTGCTTTCTCTCACCATTTAAAAACATGTAATATTCATTTAGCATTTTATGTTTCTTATTACCCTGTGTGTTTTATTCCAGGGCAGTGTTACGTGATTGACACACTAACTGTGTTTCTGCGCTTTGAGAGTAAATCTTCTTTTTTTTTTCCCCAGAATTGTCTTTTTTTCTTTTACATTATGTGGAAAAATATGGAAACTTCTCCAGAGTACCACTTTTTCTGTTGTAAGAAATGAACCTGTTATTATTGGTTAATATGAGAAGCAGCTGGATCTAACAGATATTTATTTCTAGTAACAGTTTATACAAGGACCTTGAGATCATGCACATTATGCTATTACTGTTATTCTCATTCTCTCAGCTCCTTTGTTTCTCCAGCTGATCTAAAATGATGTGATAAAATCTTTGGACCTTGATGAGTATTGGGCCTTTCA